TCTATTTACTCAAAAAATAAAACATTAAATATGATTCAAAAATGACCCCTCACCAAATGGTTAATATTGAAGTAAGAAATGATGTAATGTAGATTACCTTTGGATAATTATTGAAGTTGGTCTTAAGAACATGTTCTACATTAGCAGGATCAGCAATGTAAGTATAAGTTGTGAATGGCATAGGAACCACGACAGTTTTTGACTTGGACAAATAATTGACAAGCCAATCGTGCATCCTATCATAGTTCATCAGTTGTTCAATGGCAGCTCCAAAAAAGGGCCATGTCTTGGGACCCTTCTTTTTTCTTTGGCTCCATCTGTGTATGAACATCCATGAAACAATCATGCAGAAGAGTAGTACTAACCCTCCCATGTTGCATCGGTCCCTATTGTGTCACAAAAGATGCATGCTTGAGTGATTGCTTGATTTGTATTTTTATAGTATAGTATTAATCAAGAGGGATGAGAAGTAGTTAAAATGTAGGTACCTAAATGGTTTATTTTATGTGTGGTTTCAGCTATGTGTTAGCGACTTCGTCACAATCTTTTAGTGCTTGAGGTTAGTGAACACGAAAGATACACAAAAACTTCATTTGTTTCGTGCCATTGACTTAAATTTCGTAGAACTACCAACATGACCAGAGGTTAGTAGAGGGTGGAGCTTTGGTAAGTCACTTATCATAGAATGTGACATGACGAGAGTAATATTATTTAGTCCATTATATAAACAAATAACTGAATTGTTACCGATAAAATAGTTAATGTAGTTAATCAAGTTTATTGCAAAAACACATTTTTGAATGGAATGATTTAAATAATAGTTATATTTAATGTCACTATTTTCAATAGATGTAACTTGTATTGTAAATAACATATGTATTCACTTACATGAAAAGCAGGTGTCTTATTAATAATTTCATGATAAATAAAATTATATAAAAAAATTAACAATTAATAAATCTTAAAATAGTTTTATTATTTTTCATAATTAATTAGGACAAAAATAACATATGGTTGTTTCTTATATAAAGAACATGAAGAAATATATAATAAAATTTTATGGTATTTTTATAACATTATTTATTTATTTGTAAAAAAAATTGTACAATTTTATTACGTAAAAATAATTTTTCTTACTGTAAACATGCTACTATAATAAAATGGAAACTATGCATGTGAACTAGTTAATTAGTCGTATTAATCTGTATAAATGATTTGGATGATCTTTAAGGAGGGTTGACTTCTAAGAAAAGTAAAGTTAATGTGACAAGAAATCAAATTTCATCCCGATATTTTATTAGAAAACTAAATTATCTATAAGGGGAAAAAACATTTTATCACATCAAACATTTAATTTTCAGTTTAATAGCTTTTAGTTATTTTAATTCAACTTAATCACACTTTTATCATCCATATTTCACGTTTTTTAAATTTTGTCTCACAATTTTTAAAATCATATATATTTTATTGCAAAACTTTTAGAATTTTACACATTTTTTATTTGATTAGTTAATGTTATTTGTTAACCACTGAGATAAATGAATCCACAATCAATATGATACATGCAATTTGTCAGCTAACAAATTAGTTGTATTGATTGGTATATCCCCACTTTTACTTAATTAGACGGTTCTCTTCTAAGAAAAAAGTAAAGTTAATGTGACAAGCTGGTATGCAAGTAATCAAATTCCATTACGATATTTCAATAAGAAAGCTTTGTTATCTATAGGAAGAAGAAAAAATTGATCACATCAAAGATTTAATTTTCATTTTAATAACTTTTACTCATTTATATTTTTGATATTTATAATTTTTATATTAGTCTTATATTTTCATTCATTTATATTTTGATTTCAAGAGCTAAGGTATTATTTCCTTTTGTTCCCTCAAATATGGGTTTGGTTTATTTTTTATTTTTCAAATTTAGAAGTGATTATTTTTGTCACTTAATTTGAAAATAACTTACTTTCAGTTTTTATTAGGAGACAAAAATGATTAAAAAAGTAACTTTAAAGACTGGAGAAAATTATTTTAAATTTATGGGAAAAATCACTTTTAATTCGAAGAAGAAAAAAATATAATCCCAAACTCAAGGTATTGATATTTAAGCCTTTTTTCACATAATTTGAAGGGGGTGTATTGATTTAGGATTTTGTAGGATTTTAAAAGACTTTTTTTGAGTAAAAAAGTTCATTGGTCAATCAGGATTTTATGTCACTTAAAAACAATTCAGTGGTATTCAATCTGGATTTTCAAGATTTTTTAAAGAGTCCATTAAAATTTACCGGTATTCATTTGAGATTTTTTACAACTTAAAAACAATCTATTAGTATTCAAAAATATAAGGATTTTAAAGGATTGTTGTGTGAGAGGGATTTTGAAGGACTTTCTAGTGTTATCTATAAATATCAGATTCATAAAACAATCACATCCAAACCCATCGGATTTTGAAGGATTGTTTGAAGTGATTTTTCAAGTGTTTCAAGAATTTTCAAGTGAATTTTGCATCTTTTTTTTTCTATGCTCCTCTCTTCTTCATTTTTTCTCTACTAATAATACTACACTATTGTTCATTGCTCATATATAATATTGTAGTACTGTTCTCATCCCATTCCCCTATTTTGTAAAACTCTGATATGTAAATGATAGTGTCATTGACTTGCTCTATTTTTCTGTTCGTTCTCTTTAATTGACTTGTTTTATTTTATTCTATGTAGTTGAATTTGTTCTTTTATATAACACAAAAAAATGCTTGAAATTTTAACTTTTAAGTGGTAATTTTTTTTATAACACTCGTCAAGAAAAGAAAAAGGTAAAAGATGAAATTGATATCATAATCTCTACAATATATATATATATATAAGATGAATTTGTTAGGGTTTCTATGAGTAGAATGAGATGAAAATGGATATTAGTTGGGGGAAGAACCCTCTCAGCATAAAAACTGCGAACTCTCTCATTCCCTTGAATTTGTTACTCTTATCTAGGCATGGCAATCTAACCCGCCCCCGTGGGTACCCGCCCGAACCCGCCCCAATTGGAATGGGGAAAATTCGTGTTTATCGGGTTCGGGTTCGGGTTTTTCCCGATTGATAAAATCAA